CTACAACCTTTTCTGCCAGTCTCCAAAATATCCTCCTGTGACTTTTCAGCTCACAGGGAATGCTGATATTAAAAAAATTCTGTTATTTTTTTGGCTTTAAACTGTGAATCCATCCATTTATTGTATTTCCAAGTAAAATTCAAGTTTACCATTACAGTCAATTCTTACCCATTTATAGGAATTTTTTGTGGGTCCAACAGGGATGTGAGAATACTGCTAGCTACCAATCTCCCGTGGTAATCTGTGATGCCCTCCTCACACTGAAAGTTGACATGAAATCTGAAACACTGCAGATTGGATCAGATAGTAAGACAACCAGGGGAGTAATCAAGATCAGTAGGTAAATAATAATAAAGGGAATATTCAGGAAAATCTTTCGGAACAAATTATGAGAATCTCAGAAAAAATGAGGCTGCAATGGACCTCTGCAGATCATCCATTCCAGTTCAAGGTTGGACTGAACAGACCCACCTTTGGATGCAGCTTGCCATCTACAGCCTTGCTAGCACTGCCTTGTCTGAAGTTACGGTCCATTGCCATAGCTGTGCTCTGCCGACTCAGCTTCATTCTGGAGCATTTATATTTTAAGAACCACTTCATTTTATTCTGCTTTCAACAGTCTGGAGTCACAAGAACATGGTTTTTATTTACTTATTACTGCTCCTAACCTCAATCTCCTTTTCCTTCAAAACCAAGGAAATTGGGTGCAGTGGAACTTTGCAGACACGCCTCTTTCCATCAGCAGCCATCACTGACAGAGGCTGCATGCTTCTCATATCCAGGTCTAACAGCTTTGAAATTCAAAGTAGGACCTCTGTGAAACTTTAACTTCAAACAGAGGCTGATGTACACTACACAGCCAGCCTTTTCTGAAAGCCACTTATATCCAAAACTAATAAGCTAAATGATGCAAGAAGTCTGTATAAAATTTAGTATCTGCCACTCGCTCCACTGGAAAAAGCTAAGGTGAATAAAAGGTACCAAGACTTCTTTTGTTCCTCAGAGCACTTACCACACAGCAAATAAACAAGGAGGAACTGAAGAGTTTTAACAGGCAGTACTACAAGATGATTCCACCTGTACATCCCATTTTTAAAAATACATAGATATGTGATTCTTACAGACAGATATACATATGCTCACATGCAAACAAACATGTATCTTAGTGAAAACCTGTGTTTTATGGCTAATACCAGCAATATTCAACACTGAGCATACACCACACTCTTTTTAAACATACTGATGTACTTTAGTTTATATTCCTCTTCACATTCTTATACAGAAGTAGTACTTCATCCACCACAGAAACATAACCAACCATGGCATGAAATGCAGCAGCTGTTTAACAGCTTTTGGCAGATATACAGGAAGGTTTAATGAGAAGACTGGCCCAGGTAGCCAAAGTTACAGATGAATTAAATAGTGAGAATATTGTTACCCAAGCTGAAAATTTGACCAGGATATTGAATTAACTGGTTATCCAAACTGCCATGATGTTTTTAGCCTGGTTTAATAAATAAAAAGCAACCACACTCCATATCACTGTCTAAATCGTCTGTATCCCATTCATTTCTCTCCCTCCTACAATAGATTTTGAACTTCTTGGCCAATTTCAACCAAATTCAACAGACAAGTAAAGGTCTCAGGAATACTACATTCATACAAACTTTCTGAAAATGAGACAGAAGAGAGAAGAAGAAACATCATTTATGTCTCTACTGAGAGACTGCAATGGGCAAGACCTTATTAGATATCAGAAAACCTGTATGAGCAAAAGACCTTGTAAATATCTCTTGTTACAGAAGACTCACTGCTCGTTAAACATCTAAGACAATCAACTTTGAGAAATATGTCCAGAGGAAACCAGCTTACTTAATTCCAAGTCATGAAAATAAAACTGTAAGAGGTCAACAGCTGGGATTTGTATCTCATGTAAAAGGCATTATTTTTCACAGGAACAAATATTACAAGGCTATTCAAGCAAGAGGATCTTTGTACATCCAACTTTTCTGTGTCTTCTGACAAAGATTGGTTTTGTATGATATGCTATATCCCCTTCTTTCAACTGTTCCTCCAAAACTCTTCCCTTAGCTTAAAACATATGGAGAGAGGCAGACACTTCTACGACATAATAAATCTCCTCCTCAAGTAGGATGTGACTTAGGACAGATGTTGTAAAACCACCTCTATCTTTATAAAAGGAGACTAGCTGACTGGTTTTGATGCAGTCGAGTCACATTCCTACAGTTTGGCAAGATTCTGTTTTAGGAACTTACATGTTTGTTCTGATGCATGATTAAATGTGCAGTACGTGCACCTGTTGGTGGAGAAACACCAAGTATTGTCCAATAAATCATTTGATAATGAGTCAGTAACCCACTGATACCTAGCCAGTCATTTTCTTTCAGTCAGTGAACTTATTCAAGGGAAAGTGTATTTGAATTCAAGGAGACTAAAAACTTGTAAAAGGAGTTCTGTGTACACATAGTTGGACACTCCATATTAATTCAAGTATGGTTCACAAAAGTTCAAACTGATTTTGGTAACATTTCCTCATATGGCAGGATATTATCACACTGTCAAGCCAAAAAGAAGTGTTCAGCAAAAGCATGGATCCATTCTTGATTAAACTTAACTAAATTCAGTATGTGATAGATAAACAGAAGAATTTAGAGCTACAAGCATCAAAGGTTTACTACTGCAAATCAGGTATTTATCTAAGTACAGTAATATCATATTGTAAAACATTTTAAAAATACTAAACTTAGCTTCTTAATATTACACAATTGCAAGTTTAAACTATGCAACTTAATAGTGTGTTTAATTGCAAAAACAAGCATAATTAACTATCAGAATCTAAACTTATAATTGTATATAAAAATGAACAAATTCAGGTCCTAAAAAAGATCACATAAGCATGAATGTGATCCTTAAATAAGCACCGAATCAGCCTGAAATGTTGCACAGAAAATCAGTTGGGGGAGAAGCTCAAAACATCCACCTAATAAGTAAAGAACAAACAAACCCTAATTCAATTATTAATATGCTAATATTTTCGTATAGACATAAAAAGAAATCTAAAAGATTTTTACCTTAGAGATCTGAAACAATGTGGACTTCTGAATAAACTACAAGCAGTCTCTTCCCAGGAGAGAATTGTCTAACTTTTCCACTACTTTCAAATCTGGAGTGGAAGATATTTTAGGCCTGGCCAAATATCACTGGAAGAAAATTCGTTCACATGTTTGGCTGTGTTTTGCATTCCATCCTGTTGCTCTGGCATACAGATGCAGCTAATTATAATCTGTGACATAAGCGGCTAATTCTACTGCTAAAATGGTTGTGTACTGACTCCAGAAATGAACTGCCCCACTGTAAGACATAACCAATCCATAATGCACACTAAAATGGCCCAACCTGTCACATAATGCCAAGCGCTTTATTAAAATCTGAGAGTATGCAGCACTTCATAGATTCTGCGCATAAAAACTATTAATGTACTTAGCTGCTAACAGCACACAATGCAAAATTAGAAACAAAAAGCCCCTCTGCTTTCTTTTCTGAATCCATAAGTAACATCTAACTGAATTTTAATAGTTGTTTTTCTGAAAACTTTTAATTTCAATGCTAACATGATTCTAACTATAATCTATACTGGCTGGTATATAAAGTGTCTTTTAAAAAAAGGAAATACCTATAGTATGATATAACAGCACATAAATTTTATACAATAACTACACTTACTATACTATACTACAATAACATTTCCAAAAAGTTAAACCATTCTTGGTATTTAAGAAAGATGTGTATAAATACCAAGAGCTATTAAAAAAAGTTGCATATGTTGCATATTTTAAGATGATATTATAGAAATTATGAGACATCTTTTTTCAGTGCCATTTAAGCTTTGAGTTCTCAAATGCAGGAAAAAGAATTCCAGCCTGGCACTGCTTACATTAGACTGACTATACAAACACTGACCAACGCACTTTCTGTTCAGCCTATGATATTTTAGAATCTGTGCTGGTAGATGTCTGCAATTTAAAAAGCATTAGAAGATATATTTGTAAGATTTACAGACTAAAGGTTTTGTGCTACGTGAAGCATTGCAATCATCATCCATATGGCCGGACAATTTAATTTCTCAAAACACAATGTTTCCTTTTTTCTAGCCATGCACTCACACATTATCATGCTTTGGAAGATGAAGCTCCTATCAGACATTTAACAGCTGCAGATCATAAATTTAGGACTGACACAAATCCAACTGATCACAGGCTTACAAGACACTTTTTTCACTTTATGAATTCTGTGGCCACTAACCCTTTACCAGACTTTCTTTATCTATACAAATGGAGAAGTTCTTTTCTATACAAAGGAATTAATTCAGTGGTACCTGAAAAAATGACATAATTTTTATAATAAAATATTTATTAGTATCTTTAAAACAGCTTTGATATTTAATGTCATGGATCTATGAAAGATAAACTGGGACAAAAGCATTTTTATATTGTGTTAACACCAAAGCTTTTATTTAATTGAAATTCCCTGTAAATATTAGAGGAAGAAACCTATAAATGCCAGATAGTTTTGAAGGGTTGATTATTTAGTCATTATTTAGGTAATAGGGTATTCATGTCCAGGCATTTCATGCAAAATCTTTTGTCCATTCTTGGAGAAAAGCAGAGGATCAGATAGAACTGGATAGAAGACCCTAAAAACCCAACATTTAAACTGCATCTTAATATGTTTCCTTTTAGCATATTTCTAATTATTTTATTTCTCAATTTATAAAAATAGATTGAATAACACAGTGCTCAGCGATAGAAAGAGATTAGATTGTATCACCCAGTAGCTCTCTTTATGGACAGAACTTTTATGTTATTTTCCATGTATGATTACTCTTCTTAGTCTAGATTCATGATGTCTTTTGTCTGCTCTTCTACCTATCTAATATCTGCAAAGTAGAAATTCTAAAAATGAAAAAAACAAATAAATACCTCAGTTAGTAACTTCTGAAGTTCTCATGAAGTAGGACTGAAGCAAGAGCAACTGTCAGTGAGTTCTGTATCATCTGAAGGCAGCTGTCTTCCTATTTAAATGCAAAGAATGGAAAGAAAAAGGAAACATTTTGATGAGCATGGGGAAAGAACAAGATACTCCTGACCTGCTCTCCTGACTACTTTAACTGACAATATTTTACAAGCGATGGACCAAAATTCACGGAAATTAAAACTTAAACACAAATGAAACACTGGACATCCAACACCTGTTTGGACTGCAAGTGTTCGTGACAGCACAGTTTACAGTAAATAACAAATACACGTTGTCAAAAATCTATGTGAAAAATAATAAAAAAATATTTCTGCTACAATGTTAAAATTCCTTCTAGCACTAGAATGCATTAGTATAATGATTTCAATTATGGGGTTTCATTGTATTTGTACAAAAGCTAAGTCCTGCTCTCAGTCAAGTAATTATCTTCACAGTTCAAGAATGCTGATGTCCCGTTCCTCACCAAAAACTGCCAGCCACCTTTTCAACTGGATTTTGAAAGTCAATGACTGATGACTTAGTTCTGGAAATGTAAACAAGCAAACATATTTATCTTCCATACTGTCAGAGTCCACTCATACCAGCACTTGACTAACTAGAAGTACTTGTAATCTTATGCCATGAAAAAAAAAAAAAAAAAGGAAAAATATATAAATTGTGGTTTGAATATTCTGCCATTAAAAGATGTTACATTTTTTAGAGAAAAAAAATAGAATTTTGAGAAAAATTCTGTGTATACCTATAAGATTTCAAGAACATCTGCTTTTTCCTCGAAGAGCAAGGCAACACAATGTTGAAGACGACTATCATGTATCAGTTTAACTAATTCATCTTACCAAAGCAGACATAGAAGCCATTTGGTCCTATCTATATCACCTTCTCTAACTTATTCAGGTATTTTTCAATTTGGTGGCATCTTTAAAGAGTATGTTAAAGATTTGTTAAGCAAAGGGCATTTAAGACCAGAGGAGGATATTCTAGCCTCTATGGAAAACAGAGTTTATCTCAGAAATAAAGTACTACACAGTAATTTTTCAGTTAATATTGAGGGAAGGGAAAGGGAAAGGGAAAGGGAAAGGGAAAGGGAAAGGGAAAGGGAAGGG